CACCGCGGCTGAGCGGCCGAGGTCACGCGGCCAGGGCGGGAGGTCACATTCCACAGGCTCCAGAGGAGGAAAAAAACGGTCAGGAATGGGGGCAGGGGGGGTCATGCGGTCAAAGGTCGCCAAGCGCGCCGCCGGAAGTAGGCTCGGTGGACCGTTGGGGTAAGGCGGGCCTAGCAAAGGTCGCAGTTAAATCCGGGGGAAAACGTCCAACTCTTCGAGCGCAATAGGAAGCGAGGGAGACAGCCTGCCGCTTCTGCTACTGTTGTAATTTTAATGCTGGCTCCCTGCCACTTCTTCCCTGGGGTTAGTTTCGATATCAAGGCTTCCAAAAACAACCCTATATTTACGTTTCGCCACCAGAAGAGAGCGAGTGTGCCCAGGGTTTTCACGTGGCACCCGCTGCGATGGGCAAATCTGCACCCAGTGCAGATCTTTCAAGCGGCATCAGAATTAATCCGTAATGGGTGCTGCTCAGAAAGGGCAAGTCACGTTTTACGTTACCCTCGGATCTATTCCACTACAGTGCAGTAATCTGCTGACCACCCAGTCACTTGGACGTGGGCGCCTTGTGAGATGCGGACGCAAAGCTGGATCCGAAATGGCATGTCCAATGGGTGCACGGGCAAGAGCTCACATCAGTGACACAAAGCAAAAGCGGAATTAACAGCATGGTTCCTTCCCCTGGACCGTCAACATGGCAATGGCACACGTCAAACTCTGAATGCTCGACGGAATGTTCTATGAGGTTCCATGCAGTTTTCCAGTCCCTGCATTTTGTCCAGGGGAGTAGAGAAAGGAGGAACTGCCTTTATGTGGCACACCCCACAACCCTGGGTACCTCCCAGAACCTCTTATTGTTTGGCGATTATTCCAACCAAAGTTCACAAACCTGAAACATAAGCTGCTTCTGTCTCTCTCAAATACTGCTGGATCTGTTGAGTGTTTCCACTAATTTCCCGTTTCCTCATTCTCCCATGGGGTAGAGTTGCACAAATTCATAGCCACACAGCGCAGAAGAGGTCCTTCAGCCCATTGAGTCTGCACTGACTGATCTACGTTAATCCCATTTTCCAGCACTTGTCCCATAGCCTGAAATATTATGACGTTTTAAGTGCTCGTCCAAATACTTTTTAAAGGTTGTGAGGTTTTTGTTCCCAGGCAGTGCATTCAAGATTCCCACCACCCTATGGGTGCAATCACTTTTCCTCAAATCCCCTCTAAACCTCCAACCCTTCAGCTGAAAACTATGCCCTCTTAGCATCCTGCTCCGTCCCACCGAGGCACTTTCAAAGCACGGTCACTGTTGCAACACAGAGAATACAACCCAATTAGAGCACAGCAAGACCCCACAAACAGCCATGTGATTGTAACCAAATTATCTATTTTTGTCATGTTTACTGAGATAAATATTGGACAGGAAATAATGGATTTAAGTTTGAAATCATGGTAATGGAATATTTCAAAGTTACCTGTCCTCAGTTTGACATCTCATCCAAAACAGAATTATAGAGATGTACGGCACAGAAACGGCCTCTTCGATCCAACTCATCCATGCCGACTAGATATTCTAAATTAATCTAGTCCCATTTGCCAACATTTTGCCTGTATCCTTCTAAACCTTTCCTATTCATGTATCAATCCAGACACCTTTTAAATGCTGTAATTGTACCAGTCTCTACTACTTCCTCTGGCAGCTCATTCCATACACGCACCATCGTCTGCGTGAAAAAGTTGCCCCTTAGATCTCCTTTAAATCTTTCCCCTCTCACTTTAAAGCAATCCCTCTCGTTTTGAACACCCCACCCTGGGGTAAGACCTTGGCTATCCATGCCTTTCACGATTTTATAGACCCCTCAGCCTCCACGCTTTATTTTAGCTAATGAAGGAATGACATGTTGGCACAAAAAGAAGCCATTTTGAACTTGTAGCCTTAAAATGAAAGTTTAGAATGTTTGAATTTAAAAGCTGAGCTCAGCAATGAAACTATATCTACAATTGAACAAGAAGAAAGAGGTGGCTTATATTTTAAATTAACTAGGCCTTCATTTTAGTCTTGAAGAAACTTCAAACATGGAGGACAATAAAGAAGCTAAAAAGAAGCCTCGAGCTAACTGTTCTGAAACTGCCCTGACCCTAATCCTAACCCTGACCCTAATCCTAACCCCAACCCTAACCCTAACCTTAACCCTAGCTCTAACCCTAACCCTGCAATGTTAACATGCGATTAGCAATAGAAAGTCATCTTTTGTAGCTGGAACCTTGGATTACAATTATAAGTAGAAAACTTACAAAAACTACACAAAAACGAACACTTTATATCTTAAAGTGAATTGCGGAACATGCAAACGTGAATTAATCAAAGAAGTAGGCTGCTTCATCCTGTAGACTGTTGTACCATTCAATAACGGCATAGTTGTTCTGATCTGTAACCTTAACTTCACTTTTCTCTCTAGCCCTGATAACCTTTAACTCTCTTGTTAGTCAAAAATCATGCCTCTGCTTATAAGTATTCCTCATCATCTCTGTTGGAATTGGGAAAGCCTGTCTTTTTAAAATGTATTCCCTTCTTCTAGTCTCCCGACAACCCAAAATGACTCACTTACACCCATCCCCTGCATCCTATTAGCCAACTAATCTTGTATCCATGCTAATATATTACCCCCTACATCATGAGCCTATATTTTGCATAATAAATTTTAACATGGCATTCTGTCAAATACCTTTTGGAAATCATAGTACATCCCCTGATTCTCTTATATCTATGTTGCTTGTTATTACCTCAAAGTATTCCAATAAATAGATCAAATATGAGTTCTTTCCCAAAAGCATGTTAACATTACTGGATTGTATTCAGATCAACAAAATACCTTGCTATAAGAAATAAAAACATAAGAACAAGTAGCAGGAGTAGGCCATTCAGCCCCTTGAGCCTGCTTCACCACATAATACAATAATGACTGGTTTCATCTCGGCCTCAACTCCACTTTCCTGCCCACTCACCACAACCCTACAACCCATTACTAATTAAAGGTCTGTCTTTCCCCTCCTTAAACTTACTCAATGTCTTGGCATCCACCACACTCTGGGGTAGTGAATTCCACAGATTCATGATCCTTTGAGAAAAGTAATTTCTACTCATCTCTTTCAGATCTGACACCCCTTATCCTAAAACTATGACCTGTTGTTCCAGATTACCTCACATGAGGAAACATCCTTCCTACATCTACTTTGTGAGTCCTCTTTAGGTTCCTCTACACCCCAGTTAGATCTCCTCTCATTCATAGAGTCATAAGAGTCCTACGGCATGGAGACAACCCCTTCAGCCCAAACTGATCTGTGCTGATCAAAATGTCCATCCACACTAACCCCATTTCCCTGCACTTGGCCCATATCCTTCTAAACCTTTCCTATCTATGTATTCATCCAAATGCCTTTTAAATGTTGTTAATATACCTGCCTCAACTACTTCCACTGCAGCTTATTCGATATGCATACCAACCTCTGTGTAAAAAGTTGGGGTTCTTTCCCCTCTAACCTTAAACTGATGGCCTCTAGTCCTTGATTCCCCAACCCTGGGAAAAAGACTGAGTGCATTCACCCAATCCATGCCTCTCATGATCTTCTACACTTCTATAAGATCCCTCCTCAATCTCCTATGCTCTAAAGGAAAATGTCCTAGCTTGTCCAACTTCTCCCTATAACTCAGTCCCTTCTAAACTCTAGCAAGTATGGGACTAAACTGCTCAATCTCACTTCACAAGAAGTAGGGAGTGGTATGCAGGGGAGTGCACAATAAAGGGAGACATAAGACACCTGTTCAATTTATTTGCAATTTCCTTATTTTCCATGATAAATTCCCATTTTCACTTGAGAGGAAAAGAGCATTCACCTAATCTATTATTTTCGTTTTTTTTAGCATTCCCAAAGAAATTCTTATTATCTGTTTTTTATATTTCTAGCGAACTTTCATATTCTAACTTATCCTTCCCTATTAATCGTTTAATCATATTTTTCTGTTCTTTATATTTGGCCTAATTTCCTGACCTGTCCCTAATCTTTCCAGAATTAACTGCTTCATAAACCACCTCTTTCGGCACAACATTGTGGGCTGAACAGCCTGTACTGTGCTGTACTATTCTATGTTCTTCATTTTGACACGAACTTGGATTTAACAAAATACTACTTCTAAGGTGTACATGTGAAGTTCATATAACATTGGGAGGATGGCTGTTGTAGTCTTCTATGTTTTAAGATATTTGCTGATATTATAAATTTTAATATGTTAACTGGGATAAATGAAAATACATCATAAGCTGTAGCATTTCCATTTCCTTCCTGCAGACAAATAGCTAGCCCATCATTTATATATTTCAGAATATAATTGTTCATTTTAAGAATATTACTTTTACTTTGGAGATTGAAGCATTAAAGTTAAATGCAGACTCCTGACTGAGAAACAGGCAATAATCTTCAGTCAAAGGAAATCCAGTTTCAGAACAGACAGAGAACATTCTAGTGAAACCTACATCGCAGTGGATTAAGAGTGACAATGGGAAGCGATAGTTAGGCTTGCATCTGAACCAGTGAAAATAATAATGGCATTGTTCATTGCATGGAATTTGATTATGGTTTCTCGGTTTGATTCCATGAGGGAAAAGCGGCTGGAAGAGTGGCTATAGCTTGCAGCTAATGGAAGGGATTTACAGTGGTCCTCAAAAGACCTTGTAAGCAGAAAGCAGTGGGGAGACTTAGCTTGGGAAGTTGTTGGAAGGCATTTCTGCTGGCGAACCAAGAAAGGAGCCAAGGCACCCACGGTTGTGAGGTCAGTGAAGGAGAAGGTGGAGAGATGGGACCACAGAGTCAAAAGATAATGGAATGGCCTCTGTAGAATCTTACCTCGAAGAAATAGCTGAAAAACTAAGAGGGTGTGAAATAAATCTTGGAGGGTTGTGGGACATC